GTCTCTCTCTCTCTCTCTCTCTCTCCTCTCTCTCTCTCTCTCTCTCTCTCTCTCTCTCTCTTTCCCTCTCTCTCTCCTGCCTATCTCTTTCTCTCTCTCTTTCCCTCTCTCTCTCCTGCCTATCTCTTTCTCTCTCTCTTTCCCTCTCTCTCTCCTGCCTATGGATCAGGATGTAGCTTTCATCTATGACCCCAGTGCCTACCTGCATGCTGCCATGCTCTCCACCATGATGGTAATGGACTAAACCCCTAAAACTACAATCCAGCCCCAATTAAGTGCTTTCTTCTATAATTTACCTTGGTCATGGTGTCTCTTCCTGGTAACAGAACAGTGACTAAGACACAGCACTTCAGTGCTTGGGAGCTATTTCTTAATTTTAGATTTTTTTTTTTTTGCCATCGGCAAAAATCTAACTCAAGTACCACCTGGCCCTTGTTCTTTTCACAGTCTACCCCTTGTTTTTTGTTTTGTTTTGTTTTGTTTTGTTTTTTACTCTTTCTGTATTGCGAGCTGCAAGAAGCCAGTAATGCCATAACACTTTGCTTTGAAATGTCCTCATCTGTGTAACTTCCTCTACACTTCTACATCTTATTTCTCATATCCCTATAGCTAATAATTTTGGGAGCTTTATAGCATTCTGTAGCCACATTCTACTAACTACTTACTTAAAAAAAAAAAATGTCCCGCCGGCCGTTGGTGGTTCACACCTTTAATCCCAGCACTCGAGAGGCAGAGGCAGGTGGATCTCTGTGCGTTTTAGGCCAGTCTCCAGAGCGAGTGCCAGGATAGGCTCCAAAGCTACACAGAGAAAACCTGTCTCAAAAAAAAAAAACAAAAAACAAAACAAAACAAAAAAAAAAAAACCAAAACCTGTCCCATTTTCTTTTTTCATTTTTTATTATGGTAAAATATAAATAACATAAATTAGCCACTTAGCGGTTTTAAGTGCAGAATTCTTTGACATTAATTAAACTTGCATTATTGTGCAAAAACATCATAACTCCCCACTTGCAAAACTTTCTCATTACCACTAAGTCATAACATTCCATACCATCATTATCCAGACCCCTGGAGACCGTGCTGACCATTCAGTCCCTTCATTTACATATTCTGTGTATTTCATGTACTTGGAAATCTGTAATGCCTGCCCTTTTGTGTCTTGTTTGCTTTACTTGGCATAATGTTTTCACACTCCATCAATGTTGCATCTTATATCAGAATGGAGTCCCTTTTCTTGCATGGCATACAGTTGCATTTCATGTGTTCAGTTGCCCATCAATGCACTCATGGCATTTCCTTCCCTTGCCTATTTAAGCCATGTTAGAATGAACACTGACTTGTTGAAGTTTCAATTATTCTGGACAAATATCCATGAGTGGAAGTGATGCTTGCATGTACCGCTTTAGAAGGATGCCAGGCTACTGTCCACTCTGGCTTCACCATTGCCTATTCCCACCGCAGAGCACAAGAATCCTGGCTTCTCCACACTCCTGCTGATGCTTATTATGTCTGGGTAAGGTTTGTACTTTTCTACTTGATATGAAGAAGAGTTTGGATTTGGATTCCACCAGCATCTACACGATTCTAAGCATCCTATCCTGTGCTTGCTGTATATCTGGTTGAAAGATATCTCTATTCCTCTTGTTTGCCTACTTTCTAACTGAGATATCTTTTTTGTTGTTCTGTTGTAGTTCTTCATTCTATTTCCTTCTATGCCCCCCGCCCCCATCAGTTTCTATAATGTGTAAGTTTCTAATGCTCCATATAAAGTGATTTAGAATTTTTTCTGCCTCTGCTTCTCAGAATTCCCACTTGCACCTATTTCTGGGTCTCAGACCCATTTCCAGTGCTTTTTTTGTTTTGTTTTTTTGGTGCCTCTTACACTAGCACTGGATTCCACCGTACCTGGTCTGTTTCAAAGTGCACATTATGACTACACACTTGATTGTGTAAATTGCTTGTGCGTCTGTGAGTTCCTAGTCTGGACACAGTCTTCCCACCTCCTTGGAAGCAATCTGTCAGGAGGCTGCAGTAAAGAAGCCATGGCTTTGTCCTCTGAGTAACACCTCGACCAGGGTTTGCTTCCATCTTTGTGCCATTGTGGACAGCCTTCATGTCTGAAGGGCTGTCAGACTGAGGGCCTCAGTTTCTTGGTACATCTGAATTCAAGGCCACCACGAGGTCCTTGACTTACCCTATTGTCTGCTTTCTTGAAGTCAGAAAAGGAGGTATTCTTGAAATAAAGCTATCTCAACCTTATGGTTCAACCATAACCACAGAAGTGACATCTGCTTGTCCTGATCCCTGTAAGTGACACCCATATTCAGGGGAGTCCATGAGTTGAGTCCCGAAAGGTAAACAGCAAGGGCTCATATCAGAGATTGCCCAATATGTTATCAAGTTAAGGGTCTCGGGGACTAAGGAGATTGTATCTGATTCTACTCTTACTGGAAATGTTATTGCTCTGTGATGCCTAACATGGAAGTTTCTACTCTCCCCTGGTGCGCTATCTTGAGCATGGTGTGTTTAATGAGTACACAGTTATCCGGTACCATAAAAGACTTAATTCTTCCAGTATGGTCCTGTGAACCAAGAGAAATAGTTCCCCCATAGGCCGCAGTTAGGTGGGGCTAGCAGATTGTCATGAGGAACTAGCATAGACTCAACCAGAATAGAAGGAAATATGAGAAGACAGTCGGTACTGTAAATCTAGCCTCCATGGGATTATAGAATGCCAGCATTTTTAGAGAAAGTGGGAAGTGGGAATCATCCATTTATGGAAAAATGGATGATTTATAGGAAGACAATGTTAGGTTATTAGTTAGATTTTAAATGTAAAATAACAGCAGTCATGAGAAAAATTAAAATCTTAATTTTTAATGCATCATAAAATGTGCCTGTGACTTTCAGATACTGAAGACCCAATAGAGACTGTAATATGTTAAAGACATTAGCCTGTTGTTTTAAAAAGCCAGAATACTGGTGAAATGGGAACCAAATGCTGGCCCATTGGGCAATATTTATCCATAGTTAATAATGGTCTAAGCAACCAGAGATACCACCATAACTGCTGCTTGTACAACTCACTAAGGAGGCTGCCTGTATGGGTTAGACAAGGGGGCTCAGAAAGAAAATGTGTTTCTCATCATTGAAGAGAATCCAGACTGAGGGCTTTGACAGAGTCCAGACTCTAGCCAATCCCACTAAGTTGGAATTCTTCGTAAAGAGATAGCCCAGCCATTTTTATTTCCTTCTGACCATTCCTGTTAGGGGCATTGCCTCTACAAATCTCCATGTGACTTGTTTCACAGGAGAACTGTAGAGCAAGAAAGAGAGGAAATGTGAGGTGGGTTGTTGGTGGCCTTAAGCCCCAGCCCAAGGGATAGTTGATTAACATTGGTTCAAAGTCCAGAGCTCCATGTACAGGTAACCTTGTGGGAGATTTTAACTTTAATAACAAGCTGAGCGCTCTCAGAGGCAGCCTGCTGCAAGCAAATACAAGAAAGTATTTGTGCACGCTGATTTATTTGGCTCTGGGGATGTGGCAGCACAGCTACTGTGCTCTTTATTGAAAGTCAAGAGTTTTATAGGCATTTTTAGCAGGATTTCCTTTGCCTTCGTGTGTGTGTGTGTGTGTGTGTGTGTGTGTGTTGTGGTGTGTGTGTTGTAGTGTGTGTGTGTGTGTGTGTATGTGTGTATGTGTTTATGCGTGTGTGTGTGCATGTACCCACATCTGTGTTCACTGAAAACATAAACTAGGGGAAAGCAATGTGAAGAGACCATACATTTAAAATATCAGTGAGTTGGCTTATTAATATGAGATGTCCTCATTCTCTTGCTCTCCCTCTTGTGAGCTACATGTGGATATTTTGAATTAAATGTGAAATGTTCTGAATTTTCTTGATTTCTCAAAACCTGTTCTCAAAATAAATATCAGCTCCCTCCTGGGACTCTTCAAGGACCAGCATATACATGAAAATCTACTTACCATAACTCCAGAGCTCGCTCTCTCTCTCTCTCTGAAAAGACAAATACACAGAGCCATTGGCTATTCGATATGTCAAAGTTTGTAGATGCTAACCTGCTCTGGTGGGTTGTACTTAAGTATGAAGAGGCTCCTCCATTCATGACGTTGTCCACTGCCTCTCCCTGGAAGTGACATGCCGGCTCTGGACCCCACTGCTTATTCTTCTGTGTGTTCATTCACACAATGGCTTTATGATGTTTCCACAATGCCCAGTGGCAACCATTTCTCATCCTCTCCGTCTGTCCACACCACCCTATCTAACCTAGAGTGTTTCTCGTTTTCATTGCTGCAACCCAGTCTCCAATGGTTAGTGTTTACTATGTTGGCACTTCCTGCTTGTGACCTCCCCTGAGGTCCAGACTCCTAATGAACTCAGAGAGCTTCTCAAGTCTTGGGGCTCTGGCCACCAGTGGAATGAGGTACCAGTCATAGAGGAGGAGTCTTGGGTCTCATTCTGATGGTGCTATTGCACTTATGGAGTTCTGTGAGGCTTTCTTTAGTTTTTGCTATTTGGCAAAGGTAGATCATCCCATCTATTTTCATCTCTTTCTGTTCTCACCATTGTTACCCTTTCTTGCTTGATTTCCCTTTGTGCCTTTAAAATCCCAAACACCAGCAAGTACTCCCTACACCTCATCCCACCCTCATCTTCCACCTTGACCTTTCCTCCTCACACTGTGTGCTCATTGCCAAAGTCTCCCATCCTCCATCAGACTTCCATCCGTTTTATGGAAGACAACTGGACCTTACCAGAGTATCTGTTGAGAAATCACACAATTCCTCTTCATGATTTCTTCTCACCATTTCTCATCTCTTCCACTTCTAAATGCATTTCCACTGGAGTGTCGAGTTCAGTTTCAATGTACATTAAATAATAAAAGTATCACCGTGAAGCATGATGGTGTCTTATGCCATGCACATTTTGAGAGTGTGTCTGCTTTCTCTGTTCATCTGCGACTGTGAGCACCTGTTCAGTAAGCTCTCTGTGACTCGTGGTGCATAACACTCTACAACATCGGATTGTTACTCACAATGGTGACATGAAGGTCACTGGTGTAGGCCCAAAGTCTGAATCTTTGTTGCCTACTTCTTAAGGAAGATGGCCTTGTAAGTGAAAAAGATGTGCAGAAAGTCTTATATTTTGATAATCCTGAGATGCTAAGTTAGATTCGGTAGACAGACAAATGAATGTAAATAATCCCGTAAATCGCCAAAGTTGTCATTAAATTTGGCTACATTCACAGCTAAATTCTTCCTCCATGTGTGCTACTACTTGTAGAATGCCAGTCCGTTTTCCTCTCGTGTTTGTTTGCTTGTTTCACCTCACTCCATTTCATATGCAATTTCAAAGACTTCAGAAAAATTAAGTCATCACAGGACCAGAGAAGAAGTGGGATACTTAAATTCAAAATTGGCAAAGTGGACGTCTGTATAAAAGTTCAGAAATTAGCTACTGTAAAATAGTTCTAGCATTTGTAAAAATATAATAATCAGATATTTAGTCATCTGTGCTCTTTTAACTGGAAATCAATTCAAATTCAATTTGAATCAGTCAAATCAAATCAATTCTGAGACCCTAAACGAAAAACTTAAAAACATAAGCTCAATAGCCAGTGTCATGGGCCTTCAGACCAAGCTTATGCTTTCTTTGTCTTCAGAATATTGTCAACTTAGTTGACCGAAAGATAAGAAATTCCAAGTAAAGCTGTTCTGACTTCGAATTCATAGCCGACATTATCTTTTGATGTTTATGCCTAGAAGATGCATACCCTACGTAGATATTTTCTGTTTGCTCCTATTTTGGGGTGTCTATTGAAGGGTTTTGTTCTGTCTCGTTTCTCCTTTACTTGGCTGCACAGGAAGTTCCATCCTGCATTGTGAGTTCAGCATTCTCTTTGCCGTCTGCCATGTCTCCCATTGTCTGTGCACACTCAGCATGGCCAGCACCCCTCTGCCTCCTGTATGGTGCAAGCACTCCAGACACAGAAAGCCCCTCATGCAGAGCATGCCCATCTGTCCAACATCTGGCACAGGGATGGGAAGCAACATGACCGGTGGCCTCCTGTGGCACTCAACAGTCTCCTTTTCCTCTGGGTTTTCCTTATTACAGATACTGCAATGAACATTTGCTCTGCCCGCCACACGTGTTCTGGACAGGTTGGGGACCATGGGAACGATGCACGGCCCAGTGTGGGGGTGGCATTCAAGCCCGCCGTAGGACCTGTGAAAATGGGCCTGACTGTGCAGGATGTAATGTGGTAAGTTACCACCTCCCTCCCAACCCACATTCCAGAGCCCGTACCCAAACTTGAAACCTCCTGGAAGTTCTATTCTTGTGAGATGCTCCCAGCACACTAGATGTTAGCACTAAAGCATCTGCACTCATAGTGACTATGCTCACACTTGAGCCACTGCCAACACTGATGCATTTTTACACCGGATAGCCTGCAAACCTTTGTGCTCTGCTGAACCTGCGTGTTGTATAGGCATGAAATGGGCAGACATTGAATGCTCTTTTTTGTGTTCTCACACACCAGCTCCTCTTTAAATGTCAATTCTGCTGCAGACACTATATATTTTATAAACATTAAATGTTCCTTAAATACTAGATCAGTTTTGTTCTGGTCCCCGAGGCTCTGAAACTTTAGAGGGTGTACAAGTACCTCTTGGTAATGAGAATTTGGAGGGCATGGTGGAAACTTAAAGTTCCTGAATCAAGTATTCACATATGGAATAAACTGAGAAACCTTCCAGTTCTAAATACAGAGCTGGAAAAATCTTGCACCTAGCAAACTTTGGTCACTCTGATTGGTCTAAGGAAAGGAATGATTACCCTGTGCTGGGCTCCCAGGCACACAGAATACAATGTGGACATGACACTGTGTGGTGACAGAGAAACTGGCACCATTGTCAAGGTGAGTTGGAACACATCAGAGGGAGTAAAAGACCACTTAATGGTTTTGTTTTTCTTCTGCCTTAGGAGCCTGTATTTCTTTTAACACTTTAAACTGACAAATGAAACTTAACTTGCATGGGCTCTTTTCCAAAGACCCATTGTTGTGCACCCTGTTTTTTCTCTTAGGGTGGCTATGCACTGAGTCCCTGCTGGCCACAGTCTGGATGAGGTGTGGTGGGGAGTGTTAGGTGGAGAAACTCACTATGGGAAGTGCTGTCTTGGTGTACTCTGAGTGACCTTGGCACTAGGTTTTTGATACTTCCACCCCTTGTGTCTTGAAGCTAGCCAATATCTTTTATGCTACGGTGAAGTTCATTTTGTGAAATATATAACCAGAAAAACTCCAGAGAGCCAATGGGACAGACAGAAGGTTATGAGGTGCTGTATCAGGTCTTACACCAAACAAGGAGGCTTTGCTTACTAGGATTATCAGTAAGTGTCTTTGCCCTCACAGTGATAAAGCTATTGTAATGATGTTAACCAATATGCAAGTGATCCTGAGCTCACTTGAGACCATAAAACTCTTCATATAGTATAGGTAAGTTGCATAGATAGATTATAGATAGATAGATAGATAGATAGATAGATAGATAGATAGATAGATAGATAGATAGATCAGACAGATACAGTTGATAAATATGACTGGATTGGATGGATGGATGGATAGATAGATAGATAGATAGATAGATAGATAGATAGATAGATAGATAGATAGATAGATTTCATACCAGGTGGTAAAATTTAAAACTAGTTATTATACATAAATGAAATCCCTGAAGACTTGCATGTCTGATGGAAAACCTTCAGTCTCTGCTGCACTGACTCATCTCCTGTTGTGCCATCAATGTGGACCTGTCCTTACACATAATGTTTGCTGTAGAAAAGCATGAAAGGAGTGCCCTGAGTTAATCATGCAACTACATTCCAAACACTTTGCAGACCCAAGAACTCAGAAAGCAGTGTACAGCGTTCTTACTGTAGGTTGGTGCCAATAATGACAGTAACAGACAGACTGATCCTCAGAAAGGCCTGTGAATGGAAGCAAAGCACACCCCTTGTGAAGGGTCCTGTGTATGTGGTAGGTTTGATTGCAAATGCAAATACTGAAGGCTCTCCAAAATATTGGCATGTGTTTATTTGTATGGTACAGCATGGTGGTCATGGAAACTTGGAAATATTTGAGGGACAGATTGTTGATGCAAGGAGGAGGCCTACACCTCATGTGTGTACCTGAGTCATGCACACTGGCCTCTGGGTTTCGGTATCCTCAAGGATCGAGTCGGTGTCTGGAATGCTTCTGTGACTCCAGCACCCCTTCTATGGACCCTGGGGCACACATTTCCAGCAGAATGACTGTCCATGTCCAACAGTGTCCCTCTCTGGTGACTAAGCTCATTGATGAACTTGGAATGTGAAGTAACTTTAGACACTAGGACACTTACTGAGGACAGTAGGCAGTTAGAACCCCACTCCAGGCCAATGCATCACTGGGGCTCCTGGGCTCTCTCTACATGCCTGATCCTTTCAAGGCAAGTGAGAGAGCTAAGTGTATGCCTAGAGCCCTCCCACCCAGCCTCTGCTTCTGTATTCCCTGGAGACCTGACTGAGTGCTGCTGTGTGCACATTCAGGTAGGCATCTCCTGTTGAACCATAGGCCTCTGGCATCTGAGAAACACTGAGGTTTGATTTCATATAATACACCATGTTTTCATTTGTTCTGTCTAGTGCCAAAGCCAACATAGCCATCAATCAAACAGAAAGTAATGTCAACACCATTATTGTCAGCAACAACTAATCAGAAAAGAAACAAAATGTGTCATTTAATACTATAACAACAGCAGAACACATTTTATATGTCATTTCATTTTAAATGATCTCAACCTAATACACATATAAATACTTTGTTAATACACAAATAGTAACAATTTGTGTTGACTGTCTTTCCCATATTTATCCTCATGTCCACCTGTTTTCATAATGACTAGTGATCACAATATTTTTAGTTCATATCTTGCAAAGTCCAGCCTACTGTACACTCCCATTTTAATCATATTTTTTGTGATAAACAGCATGACCAAAGCAGCTTGGGAAGGAAAAGATAATGCTTCCTCTCACAACTCCCAGATCATACTCCCTCACTGAGGGAAGTCGGGGCCAAGGTAGGGACTGAAGGAGAGAGCATGAAGGAATGCTGCTTGCTGGCTTGCTCCCCATGGCTTGCTTAGAAACCTTACCACTCAGTCCTACCTGTCCATTGCTACCTGTATCACACACAGTGTCTAGGCTCTCCTTTATCAATTACTTACTGAGAAAATACCTCGCAGGCATGGCCACAGGCCAATTCGTTCTAGGCAATTCTTCCTAGATGAGGTTTCCTCTTCCAAAGTGACACTAGATGTGTGCCAAGTTGACAGCTAAAGGTAACTAGAACACCTTTGAATTAAATGGTAACTATATACCTTGAATCACACTCTACACATTGGAGTCATTCTTTAGAATCTAATGTAACCTGAAATCTTGCTGTATAATAAGATGGTTCTCTCTTACTAAGCACCTTCCACATGTCACGCATTGCACTAAAGGTAAATAAAATGCACTCTATTTTTGCTGTATTAGGAGAGGTGGTTTTCATTAATGCCTCTACCTGGAGATGAGCAAGCTCAACTTGAGAAAAGTTAATGAACCTGCCCAATAACAAGATGCCAGTAAATCAGTAGATAACTAGACCAGATCTAATGCTCTGACATAAATAGAATTTAAAGACTTCATTTACATAATGTTTTGGGAGAAAAATCCTGACTTTTCTTTGTTCTTAAAAGAAAGAAAGGGGATTTTTTTCTTTTTGGTTTGTGTTTATGTTTTGATCTATCATTTATAAGCACCCTTGTTTTTTTTTTAATATGTTCTTTATTTTGAGAATTTCATGCACATGTACAATGAAAAATATATACCCCTTATTTATCCTCTCCAATTGTTCCCATATTCCCTAATACACTTCATTTCTCAAAATTATGTCCTTTTTTTTTGTAGCCTACTAAATTCAGTCACTGTTGCCCATATGCGCATGGTGTGGCGCCATCCACTGGAGTAAGGGAAAACTACCAGTAACTACCCACTTCCAATAACTCCATGCCTTAGACACTCTTGAGTTTTAGTAATAATAGTGGCCTGATTCTCCCTTCCTACCAACATTATAAGGAGATTACTGTGAGAATAAAAATGAAAAAGAAATGAAATCACATCAAAAATATCAATCTGATGGTCTGCCTAAAGGTTAAAACACAGGAAAGAAAGAATTTACAAAGTGCCAAAGGCTAGTATTGTGTTAGCACAGTCGCTTCCTAAGTTAATGCAACCCAAATCCCCTGAAAGAGCAAGTAAATGCTTTATAAGGGAGAAGTAAAAGCAGCCTCACATACAGCAAAAATAATTCAAAGAGTAAAACAAACTGAGTGTAGCCGGCATTGTATTTCTTACTGGAATACCACACAAAGAATGAAGCAATGGGCCAGAAGCTATGATCTAAAATATCAACAGGGCACAAAGGACGTATTTATGTCCTAGATGTAAGCAGGGGTCACAAAGGGCCTATGATGTCTAGAAGAAAGGCCTTGAAATCAATACCATCCAAAGAGATTCTGTGACAGTTAATCAGAGATGGTTGAACACACTCTGGTGTGTTTTTATCCAGGAATGTCACTGTGAATAAATTTGGAAGCTAGTGAAATTGGCAAGTGGAACGTAGGTGGGTTTTGATGGACAAAATGATGACAGGATTACATATCCCTTGTTTTTGTGTTAGCACACAGGAATCTACAAAATACACCTCATATATTCGCTATTTCCCAAATGAGAAAATCAAGAACCATGGAAATCCAGTAGATGAGAGAGAAAGACCCTGTTAGCCTTTCTACCCTGTTCCTGAGTAGTTCCCTGTGTGTGTTGGTCCTTCCAGAGCACACATCACTGAGGCTGGGGATGGGGGGGGTGTTAGCTCCTATCCCACACCCACCCCATCAGTCCAGGGAAAAGGGCCTAAATAGACACATTCTAGGTTTGCCATGAACTCTAGTTTTTTGTTTATTTCTAGAGTGTCCATAGACTTTCCCTCAGGCTGGAAATATATCAGCAGTTCAGTTTTAAGGGGCCTTGTGATCAGAGCAGAAATTATTTTAGATGTTTGTGATTGGGTTTTAAATCTGAGTTGCACGAAGTGCCACCTTTTCACCAGCTTTGTCTTCTGTGCTTGTTCAGGGTTAGGGTTCACAACCAGGCCACCTGCTGTGTACCTTAAAAATATAA